TGAGGGGGGACTGGAGGAAGATGAGGAAAGATAATGAAAGCAGGTCTGTGGGAACACAAAGGTGAAGATAATGATGGCGGATCTGTGGGAAGATGATGAGGGAAGATGATGGGGGGGAGAAGGTCTGTGGGAAAATGAGAAGATTGGGTGTTTGGGAAGATGATGAGGGGGATCTGTGGGAGATGATGAGGGGAATCTGTGGGAGATGAGTAAAGGTGCTGGAGGGGGGTCTGTGCAGAGGAAAGATAAGTGTGTGTCTAAGGAAGGTTTGGGAAAATGATGAGGGTGGATCGGTAGGAAGATGAGGGGAGATGATGAGGGTGGATCGGTAGGAAGATGAGGGGTGATGATGAGGGTGGATCGGTAGGAAGATGAGGGGTGATGATGAGGGTGGATCGGTAGGAAGATGAGGGGTGATGATGAGGGTGGATCTGTAGGCAGATGATGAGGGATTTGTGGGAAAATGAGGGAAGATGATGGAGGTGGCTCTTTGGTAAGATGAGTGCAGTTGATAGGGATTGGGGGAGGGGAGTCTGTGATGAGATGAGGGCGTTGATGGAAGATGATGAGGACGGGTCTGTGGGAACATGATAGGGGCAGATCTTAGGGAAGATGATGAGGGGGGTCTAAGGAGAGATGATGAGGAAAGCCTGTGGTAAGAGGAGGGAAGATACTAAGGGCAGGTATGTGAGAAGGTTAGGAAGGTGATGAGGGTGAGTCTGGGATGATGAGGAGGGGTGTAAGAAAAACTAAGGGCAGATGTGGAGGGCTGGTCTCAGGGTAGATGATGAGTGCGGGGGTAAGGGAAGTTGAGGGAAATTGATGGAGACAGGTCTAAAGAAAGGTGAGGGAAGACGATGAGGAGGAGGGCAGGTCTGTGGGATGATGAGGAGGGCAGGTCTGTGGGAAGATGATGAAGGTAGGTCTGTGGGAAGGTGAGGGGAGATAATGAGGGTGGGTCTGTGGGAAGGTGAGGGAAGATAATGAGGGTGGGTCAGTGGGAAGGTGAGGGGAGATAATGAGGGTGGGTCTGTGGGAAGGTGAGGGGAGATAATGAGGGTGGGTCTGTGGGAAGGTGAGGGGAGATAATGAGGGTGGGTCTGTGGGAAGGCGAGGGAAGTTAATGAGATTGTGTC